GCACACTTCAGAGGACTTTTTGGGCCCAGGCCAAGCGGGCCTTGCAGGACTGCTCAGATATGGAATGTTTCCGTGTGGTTTGTGCTGACTTGATCATGGGACTAGCACAGAAACCGAGAGATGAGGAGGATAACAACAACAACGATATGCCGTTTGGTATGGGCAACTTTAGCGATAGTCCCATCGCTTCGGGTGAGGGATCGATTGCATCTCAGCTCAGTGAAATTATTGCCGCAGAAGGACCGCCAGTATTTATGGAGCGAGCTGCAAGAAAGATGCATGCTCTCAAGTTTCAGTACGAAGCTCGCGAGACAGGCGTGTTGGATGCTTCTGGAAGTTCTCTGGGCTTGGAGAAGGCTACATCTGCGGAGTCTCTAAGTGAGGAGGACAAGGGTACTATTGGTCTTGTCTACTGGATGACAGTCATGTTCGACACTGTATCTTCGTCCATGAACGGCCGACCTGTGGTTGTTTCAGATGAGGAGTGCCACCATGACCCGACTTATCCAGACCATCCAGAACACGAATCCTACAATATTGAGTATCGACCGCAGGACGCCAGATGGTGGGCAGAATTGTTTGTCCGCGAAAACAAGGAGGGTGTTCTTCGTTGGCCCTGTTCGTACGATGCTGCATCCAAGGGTGTCGTCACTGCAGCTCCTATCAAGGTCATCCTCTTCCGACATGTCTCGTACCTCCAGAACACGGTCAGAAGTCGATACCGAGGCGAACCTGTCGAGAAGGTCATTTCGAATGCCATGGCTGTGTACAAGCACTGGAACGTGAGCTACGGGGCCTTCTTTAGGGATCTGGTCGAGCAATACGACAGTGTTCCGACACTCATTCAGAGCTGGTTTGTGTGTGTGGTGGCTCATTTCCATTGTGCTGCTCTCCTACTCGCGGATCTGATTGAGCTTGTGGATGAAAATAAGTTGGGTCTGGATTACTCGACTCAAGTGCGACAGGCTGCCAACGTAGTTGTTTCACTACGAAGAGACAGTGCAGCTATTTTGTCGGACCTTGCACGAGTTTCGACACGCCCTCGAGCCGGTGATGTTCCTGGCACGGGTATCTCGGACCTGCACTTCGCAGTTGTCGAGGGCTCTATCCTGACAGAGCCTTGGACCATGATTCTCATTAGGGCATTCACCAAGGCGGCTATTCTCCTTCTCACTGAAGTCGAGGAGAATGTGCGACATGAACACGCACCACTCGAGACCCCTGGCGTCATGAACCTGGTCCGCCGATGCGAGGACTGCACCAAGGCGCTTTGGTGCCTGGGCAAGAAGTCGGATATGGCTCGCAATATTGCTAGCATCCTCTCTTCCGCACTGGGACCTTACATGATCCCAACGACCATCTCACATATGCCCATTTCATCTGTCGAACCGGTTATGGTGTAAAGTCTGGCAAACATGTCTTTTTGTGTACTAATTTGACGAGCGTTTAATGGATCTGAATATTGGGGCGAGAATCAGTATAGTCAGCGAAACGAACGAACGAAGTCCATACTGTATATGTATTTATGGGAACACATAGGAGCGAAACAGTCATTATCGTTGATGAGGCGTTTGTGTGGGGAGGCTCAGTATAGTCTGTGCCTGTATGTCATCAATGTCAAATTGTTTGAATCATTACACACTGTGGTCCTGTGATTCTGTTTAAATCCTGCGAACGAAATTGTCTATTCGTGGTCACCGTCCTTTGGGAGCTCCAAAGAGTAGATACGACTGGTCACGTTGTTCTCGTTAATATGAACCAATATGTGTGTGCTGTACCAAGGTCCGACCTCGATGGAAGATCCTTTTCTTTTACACCGACACTAAAATGATGGAAACATGAGGTTGTAATAAGCTCAGACATCTTGCAGGCCTTTCAGTCTTGCCTTAATTAACATCACCCGAGGCCCAAGATGCAATGTAACAACGTTTGTGGGGCCCAGTAACGCAGTATGTTTCCCGATATGGAATATCGGGAAACGAGTTAGTCTTCCTATTGGCTGAGCTGGCTCGCCTTGCCTGACTACACATCTCAAATTTGGAGAGACACGACAGCTTCGAGAGCTCTACGTGCCCTTGTTGATCAAGAAACAGGATTAGAACTCATACAAGTTACTCTGGACAACGGACTCCCTTTTTTAATATTGCTGACGCATGTGACTCGATGAGGAGTGACATGTTCTGTTAAGGAATGGTGTATATACTCTCATTATTACCTATAGATCAGCCCATACCTTAAGTATAGTGACTCCAATACTTGACTAAACTAAGACCCAAAGTGCATTAACACTGTTTTTTTAATTTGAGATCGCTGAGATGTCTCTATGTGCTTGTGCTCTCAAAGTATTAGAGCCAATTCATGTGCTTACTGGACTTCCAGCCGGCCCTAACCTCTCTAATCGCCTCAATGTCGAGAAGAAGTGGGACAGCCTCTGAGCCTGGTAAGTATATTGTTTGGATATATGCAGACGCATCTATCAATATCGGTTGGCCTGCTCATATCTACTCCAGCGTTGCAGGCAGTCGTGGGCTGACAGATTACATATCGCTATGACGGCGACAAGATAGACACCAACCTTGTAGTGGGATGCCGAACCATTTGAGGCTTGGATGATAAGTTGGAGTACTTCATTAATCAGTGCGCTAACTTTACCATGAAGATTTCAGACGGAATGGCATACGTGAACATAACTCAAAATCCGTCCGAGGAAATTTCCGATGTGTAGCATGTTATGCTGTTGTCGAAGGCTTTGGATAGATGGGATCTGACGAGGAGACTCAAAACGCCCCAAGAACCGAAATTATTACACACGAGTAGCCGTTGTTTCTCCAAAGAGATAGAAAGTTTATACTATATCACTTACGAATGTGTCCTAGTTTTCGCTCAAAGCGGACACTCATGGTCCTGCTGCTAAAAGAGCGATATTATCTCTTAATATTTCAGTAGTGTTTTATAAGGGTATCATCTTCACTAATAAGGGACTTGTTCCTATATTATGATGAGACTGTATAGGTTAGTTGGTGTAATGGACACCACTGACTGTTGGATATGTCTTCTTGGGGTCCAGGTTCGTTCCAACGTAGTGAAGATTGATGGTCGCCAGTCATGTGATGTAAGACTATATTAATCACGGAGAAGATTGCTCATCGCTAGCTCAAGGGAAATTCCCATCCAGAGACACTCCTTAGCACTGGTTGCGTGACTGCAATGGCAGTGGTTTGGTGTTTTATCTCTCAACTTGTCGTATATGTTAGCGTATAGTTTCTTCCATATTCGTGTAACCTTTGCCAAGGACTAAGATTGAATCATCGTCATTCAAGTTTGAGGCTGTGATTAAAGCAAAGCACTGTTTGGATATGGAAACAAGACTTCAAGCTAACAAACTGCTTGAGGGCCGACTCACTAATGTTTTGTCGTTGCCCAAGTTCATATCGTACAACCTCCATAAAATCATCTTGTTCTTAGAAAGTACGGCTAAGCTTAATCACGCTTCTTTTCCAAATGGAGGATTGCCTGTCACTTGCTCTTCGGCCCACTCGTGTCATGAAGGTCGGAGTGACACTCGAGCATTTGCAAAAACTGGCAGCCGTGTAACGGAAGGAATTAACAATATTAATGAATGACTTACCCCGTTTCATATCATTCATGAATCAGATGTGCTTTTCTGAGTATATAAAGAGCTCTGCAGTCACGCTTTCTTTTCCGCCAACTACACATTACTATCCAAATCTCAGCCTATCTAACAAAATACTCATCAAAAACACTACAAAATTTATATTAATCTAGAAATGGCTCAGTAAAACTTCTCCCGCTAAATGAGTGACGTCTCCTCAAGCTTCGTCGGTCTCATGTACGAAGCCAACAAGCGCGGCAACCTCCAAACTGCAGTCCTTTGGTCAAGACTTCAACTCTTGGGTCCAAAATCACGGCATGAGACTCGACTCGGGGATTTCAAGTTCTGCCCCGAACTATCCTAACGAAGATGCCGTCAAACGATCTGCAATTAAGCTAACACTTTCCACCCTGACTCCCAAATCCAGCTACGTAAGTATCTGACTCCAGGCTAGAAATGAGCGGTACTGACATTATCTGATAGTTATACAGGACTATCGTGATGGCCCTAACGTACGCACGGCATCTGGAGCGCAGAGTAATTCGAGCAGTGTTGAGAGGAGCTTGACCAGTCTTTCGAGGTGGACGTCTTGAGAAAATAATTGGTAGGATCGAGGTCTTTTTCTGGACTTGACATCAATTTTCATATCCAACGTAAAGAAATAATATTAGGAAAGGTTATCTGACAATGTTTCATTCTTGAACGGCTTGCCGCCGTTTTCCAACAATCGATATCACTTGGTGAGATTGCGAGTCTGCCATATTTATCAACTCATGAGTGACACAATATGCAAGGCGCTGAACTACCGTCAAGCTAACTGTTGATTATCGCTTTAGTACCTTCTCTGCTCTATGCTGTATTGTCAATTGAGTTATTACACTTTCAGACAATACGGACAGTGACCGCCAATACGTATATAAAGTGATAGCAGTGGGCAATGAGGCGGTGTTGTGTATGCCCAGGCAGGAGTCGGAATAGCCACTTGGCGAACTTTTGTGTGTTTTTGGCAGTTTTCATATCAACCCTGATGTTGCAGCACCCCAATACTTTAGAATGAATGCTACAGACACTCTAACCCTTACCTTGCCATGTGATTACTACGCATAAAATTACCATGAGCCTCTCCTCAAGACAAAAATGGAATTCACAACGACTGAGTATGAGAATTGGCTATTTGAAAGACTGAACTCTGAAAAAGTTGGATGCGCTTGTTGAAAATCCCAAAGAACGCAGATAGGCACCAAAAGGATGACCTAAAGACTTATAATAAACCCATGAAGCTTGGTAGAATACTTCCGTTGCGCCAATTAAACCATTTAAACCTTTCTCTCTGAGTTATTGGGACTTGACAGGTGAGTGGCCTCTTTTGGCTTTCAATTTTCTATCCCTAATCAGCACCCCTAACATATATGTTAGCCAGGCGTTTACCCAATGTAGGGCGAGGATTCCTTGCCGCAGTGGTACATCTCCTCAATCATTTCGATGGCTATGTGCAAGTAGTGAAAGTAATTCCCAGTCTTGTGTAGTAGCGCCTGGTAGACTGGGCGTTGAGTGTTAGCCCTACCCAAACTTCCATGACTGATCATTACATACGGTCCTCAACGGCACGACGTACAGACTCCAAGCATACTGGACGGTCTCTTGCTGCAACCGATTCCCTCAATAGCGCCGCGTGTCGATAACGGGTAGAGTAAGCCCTGGGAATGCGGCGTGGTATCTGTGTTGGCGGAAACGGCTCGCCTTCAGGGATGGTCCTATAGCTTTTGACCCAGTTCATGAAGATCACCTCCATTTTCTCGATAGTTTCCCAGTCCGGGTAATACGCATCTCCGTTTCTTGAGATGGAATTTACTTCAGGGAGGTCCAAGATTTTTTTAAGACAGAGGCGAACGGATAACGCGATAGATGATACGCGAAGAAAATCGCTGTGCCGTACAGTACGGAAGCGTCGACCAGACATATCGATGATGGATAGCTTTTCTTGGTAGTAATTTGATTGATAAGTAGGACGAAACGAATCGATACAGATTCTTGTTCTTGATGCACCCGTTGCCGATAATGTAAAGTGCAGATATGTTGTGAGTTGAGGTTGGCTTGGCATTCAGTTCTATTTTGAGAGGAAGGTAAACACTGAACTCCATTTGGTCCTGCCTCGAAGTGATCATGACCTCAGAACTGGAAGTTAGAGAAGTCTTAGGTATGGACCATAGTTTGTTGCTTCCGTTTTTGACAGTGTGTATGGGTCGATGTCAGTCGCGACTCCTATTACTGGGTAATGGAGAATGGCCAACATCCAACCATCCCTGAGCATCATCTCTAACGAACGGCATACGATCATCATCACCGATATAGAACAGTTCTAAGTACAGAGAGAGATCAATCTTCAAAGCTAGATCGTTTTCTCGAAACTTGATTCTTCATTCCATCATTTCAGTCATCAACTTGACCATCATGGGTCACCCCTCACAAATCGAAGCCGTCATGGAAGCCTACGACGACATCCTCTACCACTATCCAGATGACGGCGAAGATCCTTTGAACATGCCCAAGAAAGAAGTTATTGTAAAACAAAAGGCGGATTTCAACTACTGGGCAATACATTCGGGCGTGTGCATGCCAGAAATTGACCTTGAACACGAGTTCGAACGGGAAGCGATAAAAGGACTTGACGACTTCATCGAGACTGCACATAAACGTGAGTTACACCAAATTTATGGTTAATTTTTATGATTCGCTCACATTTTCAGTCGAGAGACTATACCAAGAAGACCTAAGTCCTAATGTCATATGGCTGGCTGACGAATACGTGGCCTCGCTGTCACAAAGGCTGAGCCAACTGGCTCATACATTCGGCGTACTTGTACCTTCATTGCAGGACACAGGGACGGCTTCTGAGCGGTGAATTGGAACTTGATGATGTTTTGGGAAAGTTGGTTGTCGCATAAGTATACCTCATACTAAATAGACGCTTTGCAGCAAGTCATTAATACGAGATATCCTAAACTATGATAAGGAATAGAGTAGAGAAGTAAATTTTATACTCAGTTGATCATAAGAGATCCTAAATTAATACTATATTATTATATATTTACTTACCCGAAATCTTAGTCAAGGTGTGCAGCGCCAAGGAGAGCCCTTTTAGCAGCCAGTCAACTTAAGTATAGTACCTTATATAAGTATCCCCTTCCAGCGAGTATATATTATCAGCGTTCACTTTATCACAACTCACAAGTACATAGATAATGATGAATCTTTTTGTTATCTTGTTGACTTGAGTGCCTCTCTGGTGTAGGTGGCCAAGAGAAGGCATAAGGGTAGATGCTATCTAAGGATTGTAGCTTAGATAGCCACTACGGCACTTCAAATACATCAACCACAACGTCGAATATAGCCTCAAAACAATCAAAGTACTAATCACATGTGATTTGGAGATTGCTCGGCATCTTTTAGCGTTGGCGTATTGGTTTTGAACACGCTGCTAAGCGCTCAATCAGTGACAAAGATGAGCCATTTACCTAAAGATACAACGCTGTAGCGTTTCCTAAGCCTTGCGCCCTGATCGTTTACAGAGTTCTCACGAGACATGTTCATATTGGCATTTCCGAGTGAAACGGGATGCATCCTCTTGTCTGTCGCGTCACCCTAAACTGTTACTGTGCATAGTAGACTGCCAGTCGGATGCTGACCGCACTTAACGCCGGCTCAACTGAATATCCCCCGCGAAACGCGGGGAGGTCATACGCAATGGTCATGTCAATGCAGACTGAATCATGTAGAGTCGCATAGCGCATAAGCATGTCACCTTTTGTTTTATCCCCCTTCTGAAAATTTGAAATCATGCGATCGATTTGGAGAAACCAGTAGAAGGCCTAGTGACCGACTCCGGTCGGGCGAATCGTCAGGGTCTTGATCAGCATGATTTCATGAGGTTTGAGAAACCATTCGAACTAATCGTGGTGGGTGACGATGAGCACTTCGTCATCTCGGAGGATTGTCATGCAGGATAAGCACTTGAAGATTGGTGTAGTCACTGGGAATTACACGGGTAGAGAAAAGTGTTCGGCTGCTCGGTTCGTTAGCTGCTGGTGCTACTGCCCGTCTGTTTGGTGAGACAAATTCCTCGATTTGACGTCGCCAAGACGGCATTCTACGATTTGAGATCTGCCATCAAGTAACTATTTTTGGAGGGCAATTTTTACAGACCTTGATCGGCTGCCGTTCGCTTAAATTTTCGGTCCTCAAGTGATAGACATCAGATATCTTCAACGCGTTATCACCGTGGATCTGAAAACCAAGACTTTGGATCTTAGATGAAGATCAATGCCGTCTTGGATCTCAGGATCTACCTCTTTTGGGCATGATCTCGCAGTCTCGAGTCATGACAAAAGATTGTCGTTTGCATGACATCTATAGATCTTTGTGGGTTCATGCTAGATTGTAGAGAGCTGGTTTCACAAAATAGTTCCCGCAAGATACATGGAGAATCTTCAACAGTGATGATCCTGGAACCTCACCGTTGAGAAAGTCACCCGGCCACAGAATTATAAGGCAATGAGAGTCGTAACAAAAGCCATACAGAGATTCTCCCCAGTTCGATATCGACGCAGATCTTGAGTAATTGTGATAACGTTATCCACAAAACCACAATAAAATACCTGGAGTTGAAACTTTAAAGTTTGAAATCCCACAACGTTCAAAACCCATAAAAAAGAGAAGGATGACCTCATAAGCTGTTGATCCTGGGTCCCCTGTCCAAGGACCGGGCACCCCGGTCTTGAGGATCGAGGCTGGATGGCCCAAGCTCTATTCACGGCCTTGCCCGAGATTGGAACGACTGAGGAAACAAGACTAGAAGGCTGATAGAAGCCTTCTGTTAAACAATCATGAAGCATGGACGCACACAATCAAGGCCCTTTCAATAAAGTGGCAATTGGTTACAGGGGAGATGCTTCCAGCTGAAAGGTGACAACTCATCGCTGTCAGGACGACGCGTGTTGAATGTTTACGAAAAAGAAAGCCTAGATGAGGCTTGTAGAGCGTTACATTAAAGGAATCTTTGAGTTGGCGATCAGCGCTTAGTTGGCAAGCCTGGGCTCTCTGTGGACCGTTACAACTCCCGAGCGCAAATTCACGGTTCACCGTTTAAGTTACTGAATCGCAAGAGCTTCTGTTTCTAGGCCATGCTTAAATTAATCTAAGCGTTAATGGCCTGGTCGTCAAACTGGAACCAATGCCTCACCATTGAATGCACGAGCCTCATGAGCAAGGGTCTTTTATGACCAAGAAATTTGACATGTAACTAGGCTCAAGGAGGGCCGTTCATTGATGAGAAAACCGTTCGCTTTGGATAGAAATAGAACTATAATTTCATGTCGTGTGATTCGTCTGAGAATGAAGTTGTTCATTGGATATATATCAGATAAATGAAACGGCTACAGATGAGTCTTATTCTACGGAGTTACCTCCGACGATATTCCCAAGATGCGCTGGAATCATATCATATGCACATGTAAGCCAGAAATAGGGCGAGATATCAAGCCTCATTCAGCTGTGCATAAAAACTCGCAAGTATCGCCTCGGCAAATTCAAGCCGGGCAAGATAGTCGTCGGCATCATGGATCAAGTTCGGCATCTCGTATAACCGAAAAAGAAAAAGAAGAAGAAAAGAAGAGAATCCTTGCTATGAATGACGGATGATTTGTGCATCTACCGCCACCCCACATAGCCCATGTTTCTGTCCACTCGATGCCTTTGCAAAGTGCCTTACCAGACCCATTGATCAACTGGCTTTGAGAAGAAAGGTACATGATCCTGGTGAGTACCCTGGAAACTTTGAGGTTTTTTTCTTTGATGAGAGAAAATTCTCGGATTGGGTTGAGCCTCTTTGCCATACTGTTAGCATCATGAGTCTGTTCCTCGGAATGAGACCTTGGTATTGGAATGAGCTAAAGTGAAGCCCGAATCCACAGATTACGACCCTGATGTCAAGGTGAAAAGTACAGCACTTCATCTGCAATATGTAATTTGTAATATGCAACATGCTGACCCTTTGTTATGTCATCTCTCCCCAGACGGATGGACCCTAAGATCTTGGGATTTTTTAGTGGAGTCGTTCTTTGGTTTCGGGACCGGAACGGCCACCAATCTACACTCTCTGTCGATGTTGATCAATCATCGAATATTCCTCTCTTGTCTAGTTCTCTAAGTTTCTCGGATCTCTTCTCAGTGACTCTGACAAAGCGGAGGCTGTCACAGTCAGACTAGGATATGGTGATGGCATGAGTTTATACATTCGGCACATGCCATGTCACGACCGCAGCAGACATTACGTAGTCCGTTTTCGGGGCTTAAACAGAGACCCTTACTCTATCTGCATCTCTAAAGAGTAAAGCCTTTGAATCTAAAGACAGGGTTTCGCCTGGTGCCGCGTCACCGAAAGTAGCGAACCCCATTCAATCGTACGGGGTTTGGGCTCCGCAGCCTCCGGAGCTCCCTCGTTAAGTTATTCTCTCAACGATAGCAAGAGGCATTGATGAAGCTTTTTTTTTTTTTTACTGCTCCTCGGATAGCACGGGGAGTCTGTCTGAATGTTTTCCTCGGAAGGGTGGCTTAGATTCCATGGTATGACCTCAATTTGGCGGGGATATAATTACCCCAAGGTCAGACACTCAGACATGGCATGTAGATAACGCCTCTCTCTCTCTCTCGCTCTCTTCCATATTCTTCTCACATGTTCTTGCCGCCCCCATCTGTGCTCCTCTGTCTCGGTCTGCTATGACTGCATCATCATCA